TTTTTGGAAAGCTCCCCACCACAACCATGTGAACAAAAGTGGGTTCATGTGCGGTTCACTTAATGTTGGCAAAAGCACTCAATATGTGCAAGCCGACGTAATTCATCTTCTTTAACTACCCAAAAGTCAACGCAACGCAATCATCAAACGCTCATAAAGCGGACGCATGCTGCCGAGGTGCCGAGATTTTTGCTTTGATATGTGGCAAGGTAAAGGCGACCCAATGAGCAAACTGTTAAAAGTGGACAGATATGTTTATGCAGATAAATTTGAATCTATAGAAATTAAGAGTATACATATACTATATATGTATATCTGTCCCTTAGTACTGCAGCAGACAAGCAAATTATTTCTAATATCTCAGAATTACGCCTATTTTGGTTATTGGGTAGCCAACACAATTCGTGTGTTTTTGAACGAAACTCACATATTTACAAATAATCGTTAGCTAGTTAGTAATAGCGAAGTGAAATTATTCTGCACAATGGCGTATGACGAACCAAATTGCAACGCTGTTACTGCGGCATCCAATGCTAACCATACAGCTACTTGCATAAACACATATACTTATGGCCAGCTGATTGAGTCAAGTGACATTTTGACTAGTTTTGACTCTTTTTCTTTTGTTTATTTAATGTTTATATTTTTTTTTTTACAGAAGTTTAGCACTTTACCTAACCAGCGCCACTTACATCCACATTTCAAACTTCGTACAAAAATTATAAAAATTCAACAAACTTTAACATTTGCACCTAAAAATTTTAAAGTTTGTATATAGAATTTTTGAGTTTTGTAGCTCATTAAATTTTAGTAGATTAAAGTGCAAATTTCAAGACGCTGGAAAAACGCGTTGATTTTTAATATATTTTTTTTTTTTTTGCTGACGGTGCTAGGCATTTTCTCCCATACAAACGAAATTGTCGAACATATTTTATACGGAGGAAAATGCCACAACATCGTCAGCAAAAAAAAAAAAATTGTTTAAAATCTTCAAATTTGCATTTTAACCCACTAAAATTTAGTGGGCTACAAAAATGCATACTCAACATTTTTCTAGAAATACTGAATAAAAAGTTTAAAATTCTCGGGTGCAAATGTTGAAGTTTGTTGAATTTTTATAATTGCTGTACGAAGTTTGAAATGTGGATTTATGTGGCGCTGGTTAGGTAAAGTGCTAAGCTATTGTCAAAAAAAAAAAAAAATATATAAACATTAAATGGACAAAAGAAAAATAGCCAAAACTAGTCAAAAGGTCACTTGACTTAATCAGCTGACCACAAGGGTGTGTACGTAGCTAACTTTTTGCTGACTGCTAATCAGCGTTGCCGCGAGCTTGGAAAAAAGTATCAGTTTCCAAGCAAAAAAAGTATCAAAAGCAAACTCAACTTTTTAAACATTTAATTGAAAAACGAATAATAAATAAAGTTTTATAATTAAAAATTATATTACTTGCTTCAACAATACCAGAGAATCAGTATGCTTATTTGCATAACGAAAAAAAAACTTAGTATGACCCCCCTAAATCACACAAAATCATTGTGCAAATTGAGACTTGTTTAAGTCAATATTTTGGAAATTAATACACAATAAAATTGCGCAAACCTTATTTTGGAGAAACGTTGCTCAAGTAAATATGTGCAAGAAATATTAATGTGCGTTGTATATTTTGATAGCTTCAGCTTTAAAACACAAAAAAATAGTATTAAAAAAAAATTTTTCTACGTTCTTATCTATATTTTACAGCTCGATCTAGACACCGAAATCAGAACTACACTAAAAGTTGCACAGTTGTCGCCATACGCAACACAAATTATTGTACAATTACGCATGAGCAAAATATAAATGATTTTGATTTCAATGCATAACTGTGCAATTTAGTACAAACAACCCCATAACTACGCAAGCCCGATATTGCGCAATGTTTTTGTGTAGTATAGGGGCCCTACAACAGCAGCGTGTGCAAAGAAATTCCGGGTTGTATTTCCCGTAGAGTTACCAAATCAAACATAAAAATATCTACATATAAAATTTTAAGAATTTAAATAACAAGAAAAAATTATTTTCCTTTAAACTAGCAAATTTTATTCATAGTTCTCAAAAATTCATTTCTGCCCGTTAAAAATTATCAAAATGGCGCATTTGTGAACAAAAAAGTATCAAAGTATCAAAT